AATATAAATATAAATAAATATAAACATAAATATAAATATAAATATAAACATAAATATAAATATAGATACAAACATAAATACAGAGATGCACGCAGACAAACGCCCAAGGCAAAAATAAACAAATATGAATATATATAAAAGAAAATATAAAAATAAATAAAAATATAGAAAAAAGTATAAACCAATATAAACAAATATAAACAAATGTAAACAAATGTAAACAAATATAAACAAATACAAATAAAACAAACAAATACAAATAGCAGCAGAGAAAAAAATAAAAACAAACAAAAAAAAATAAAAAATAAAAAAAATAAAAACAAACGAGTAAAAATAAATATGAACATAAACAAGCAAATACAAACAAACACAAATAAAAAAAAAACAAAAACAAATACAGACAAATAAAAAAAAAAGATATAAACAAACAACTGGAGACAGAAAAAACACAGAGTAATTAAGCTGCTGCATGCATGTAATACTAAAAAAGCAACAAAAAAAAATAAAAAAATAAAATATTTAAATATATAAAAATAAAATAAAAAAATAAAAATATAATGAGAGAACAAATCGACTTGTTTGTCTTCACTGTCTGTACAGACAAACCCCACAAACGCCGCATGCAGACAGACACCGAAAAACAAGCTGCAGCTGTGCATGCAGCAGCAGCAACAGCAGCAGCAGCAGCAGAAGCAGAAGCAGCAGCAGCAACAGCAGCAGCAGCAGCAGCAGCAGCAGCAGCAGCAGGATCGTCTACCTGAAGAAGCGATCCCAGGCGAGACGGACGCTCCCCTTGCCTGGCCCCCCCATTTTCCTTTTAGATATGGGCCTGGGTTTATCCTCAGTTCTGCTGCTGCTGCTGCTGCTGCTGCTGCTGCTGCTGCTGCTGCTGTTGCTGCTGCTGCTGCTGCTGCTGCGGGGTCGAGGGGGCCCCCCCGGGTTGATCCCTGGGGGCCCCCCGCTCCTTGGGGGACTTGCTGGAGTCCATGGCTAGCTAGCTGCTGTGTGAAAATATAGAGTTGAGGCTAGCAGTGTGTATGGCTAGCTGTATGTTTGGCTAGCTGGCTAGCTAGCTAGCTAGCTGTATAGCTAGCTAGCTCGGGGCAGCAGAGAAGAAGCCCAGCACAGACAAGCTCCTGTATAAGCCATCAACCACCCTGAAAGTAGAATACAATGAAATACTGAATGACTGGGGGCTGGGGTGTACAGGCAGGTGAGGGCAGGAGAGAGAAGGCCCCTCAGGTGTATGTACA